ACCCCCCTACACCCCACCGCGTCTGTGTGCAAGTGCCCCCTCATTTCCTTTTTTTCTCATGCCCGGATCAGAGGGGAAAGGTCTCTGGCACTATCGTGTGCACCCCTGATGGGAACATGCACATGTCACGTCTGCGGGTGCACACAGGTGTGTGCACACCCCCCCGAACCCCCACTCCTCCTACAGCCCCGAGGGGCACAGGAAGATGCACGTGCACTTTCTCACAGCTGTGTGCACGCACTGGCACCCCTACTCATTTGGGGGTCCACAGATCATGTCATCCACCTGTGCACGCTGCTGGCTACGTGGGGCAGCCGTGTTGCCCCCCAGCACCATGACATGTGGCACCCCCCTTCCTCTCTGGCAGGTGTCCCTGCGCACGAGCAGGATTGGTGCCACTCCACGTGCTGTCCCCACAGCGCTGCCATGGCCAGCGACAGCAGCTCTGGCTCCAAGTGAACTGGTGGCAAACGTGCTGCAGACAGAGGCAATGACAGAGCTTTGGGTGGCACAGCCCTGGTCAGCTGTCCATGCACCCAGCAAGCACTGAAGAGATAAATTCACACACTGTGCTCCAGAGGGTTATTAATTATGCACGCGTGCAGGCAGCGAAGAAAGAGCCTGAATGAAAACCACGTGCTCATGCCTTCAAAAAGGCATGAAAACTTCTTATGGGCTCAACAGCTCTTGTTGCCAAACCTGTGCAAGAAATCACCCTGTCCCTCTCCTGGAATCCTCAAAGGGACTCCAAGCAACAGAGTTTATTTTACCCAACTCCTCTCAGCCCAGTTAGTGAGTTTTTAACACTGAAAGCACTATCTGCATTGCTCTTCAGCACACTCCTCTTGGACCACCTCCCAAAGGAGCAGAAAGCAGTGGGGACCCTCCATCCCAGGTGGGTGCCCAAACCCCTGCAAGTTTCTGGGCAGACGTTTTTAAAACTTTCCATGATGATGGGGTGATGAATCAGAGCTGGGGACTGCACAGAGGGGCAACACTGCCCACAGCCATAGGGAGAAGAGCTGAGATTGCAGAAGCAGATCCCTCCCCGGTGCCGTGGGCCATGACCAGAGATGAGGCAGCCACAAAGCTCACTGCCACGGCAGCGTTCCCTGCTGGGGACCACTGTGAACATCAGGAGTCATCGGGCACCGCAGACACGAGCAGCGAGGTGGCAAGGCGTGACCAGTGATGGAGAGATGAATCACACTGCGCTGTTGAGATGCTGGACAAAACATGCAGTCGAAAGGCTGCCCGGAGAAGCTGAGTGTGAGAAGAGCAGAGAGCCCGACCTGGGGTTAGGGGATCCTCTGGCACCCCAAAACCCAGAGATTTTGGGCATTCTCCACGTATTGCAGTCCAAACGTTGGACTGTGCAGGCAGTGGTGGCCAGGACCAGC